ATTCTGACAGGGGTTATAAATGTCAGCGCTAATTATTCCTCTAATAAAATATATTAAATAAATTCCAAACGGTTCTAGTGCTTCAGAGTATTTTAAGGTTGTTTGAATTCCTTATTGAGGGGCTTATTTTATTGCATTTGAATTTCTTGTTTTATTTAAACTCCCCTAACAAACAGCTTTCTGCTGTGGTCGTAGAATCCCAGAACGGTTTGGATTGGAAAGGACCTTAAAGCCCATCTCATCCCACCCCCCTGCCGTGGGCAGGGACACCTTCCACTAGTCCAGGTTGCTCCAAGCCCCGTCCAGCCTGGCCTTGGAATGTTTTTTTAACTGTAGTAAAAATCCCGTGTAGGACACGTAACTCACACACGTGGGGTGAGTCCTGCCGGGGGCGGCTGCAGTTTCCTCCCCTCCCACCCTCAGGTTTGTCTCACGTGCACCAGGTCTTGACTAAACTGAATTTTCAGGCTGTGCTGTCTATTTTGAGCAATGTTCTGCGTAGTTCCTCTGGTGAGTTGTGTGCTTTTCACACACATTATGAAATGGGAAGGAACGCATTTTAAAAAAAAACCAAAACCCGCCACGCTGTTGCTGAAACTATTTGATTTTTGCCTATTTTTAGCAGAAATTTTTCTCTTATCATTGTCTCCAGCTCTTGCTTGGAGCAGCAGCGTTCTGAGAAGCCACACGTTTTTGGGTAGGAAGGTCAAGACAATTTGTCCCAGCACTGTGATCACCCTTATCTGGTGTTGGGCATCGCTGTGAGACAGTTTGGGTTTCCAAGAACTGAACCTTCCCCGTGGACAGTCCTTTTTCTTCTCTCTCTGAAAGACTAAACCACTGGGAATTAAGTAAGCTATGGCATGAGGCATAAATCATTTTTCCAGGCTTGGAAGCAGGGATAAATTAGATTTTCTATCACAGAATCACAGACTGGTTTGGGTTGGAAGGGACCTTAAAGACCCTCTCCTTCCACCAGGACACCTCCCACTATCCCAGGTTGCTCCAAGCCCTGTCCAACCTGCCCTTGGACACTTCCAGGGATCCAGGGGCAACCACAACTTCTCTGGGCAACCTGTACCAGGGCCTCCCCACCCTCACAGGTAACTATTTATTCCTAATTTCTAATTAACTTTGCCCTTCTTCAGGTATGGTCACTACACTTGTTTGTGTGCCTAAATAAGAGACACTGGAGGAGCTGACAGGTAGGAGAGGGTGACAGACAAGTATCTCAACATTCCTGTTTCTTTTGAGAGGAGATGTTTTGCTAAAGCCTCTTCCAGCATTCCCAGGAGGTCCAGATCCTCCTCTGGCAGGTGAAGGGGATGTGGTTGGTGGAAGGTCAACCTGTGGTTGCAAGTGTCCCCAGTGGGGCAAAGCCTTTTTGCTTCTCTGGGAGTATTTAACTCCCTTTTCTTCAGGTTGCTTCCTGTTGCCAAAGCCTTCTTGTCTGGAGGATGTTCTTAAACTTAAAAATGCTTAAATGTAAATACATATTTTCTGGTGAGGTTTTCACTCTGAAATCTCTCTCTGGGATGATATCTGAGTTTTGTTGTGGTTTCCTTATTTCTGTAGCGTCAAACACCTTCTCTACACCAGACTTGTGAAGAGCCTGCTTTTTACAGGCTGTCTGGCATCAAACCTTCAGCCTGTACCAAAGAAAACCCCCAAATGCAGTATTTACAAGTGTGGCAGCTCAGAGCAGGAGGTGAGCAGCATCACTTGAGTGCTCCTACAGGAGCAGAGCATCCTCCTCCAGCATCCAGGGAGCTCCCGAGGCACCTGCAGGCTCAGCAGAATTGCCTTGTGGGACAGTGAAGGAAGAAAAATTGAATTTAGATAGAAACCTGCTTGTGTTTTGGCTGTGGGTTGTGCTTTCTCCAAAGGACGGGTTGAGGAGCAGTGGAGTGGGAACTTTGCTCTTTGTGTCAGCTCTGCTGTGGGCTGGGATGGAAACAAAACAAGTGCAGCCAAGGTGCTTTTTGTCTTGGAAAATCACAGAATCACAGCCTGGTTTGGCTTGGAAGGCACCTTAAAGACCATCTCCTTTCCCCCCTTTGCCCTGGGCAGCCTCTCAGTTATGTTATTTGCTTACTGATCTCTTTGCTTTTGACGAGGAGCGTAGGGAAAAAACCATTTCTGAGCCTAAAACTCGCCGGGGAGGGATCCAGCCGTGAGCCTGGGTCGGAGCAGCTCGCTCAAGTCTTGCAGCAGGATGTTTGCTGCACCCAGTGAGTTATTGGTGCTGGCAGCTATGAAATGTTTATTGGGAAGGGCAGGGCTCCTACGTGCCCATCTCCGCATCCCCAGCCCTGCCGAGGGGATCTGGCTGAGCTGCAGCCTGGAATCCCAAGGGATGGAGGAAAGACAAAAGAGATGTTTAAGACAAGGAGATGTTTTTCTCATTGCCAGCGAGACCCACCTTCCTACATCCAGAAAGGTCCGGGACTGCGGCTTTGAAATGTAAACAAGTAAACAATCCCTGTTCCAGAATTTTAAGGAGAGAAACGTACATCCAGAGGAAATGTTCCTTTGTGGACCGTCCCTCTGGTTTCCTGTGGCTGATAAGAGCTGCTCCTCAGCTGTGCCCTCCCCACCATCCTCATCTCCAAAGCCCTGGTTCTGCCTTGTTCCTTTGTGGACCGTCCCTCTGGTTTCCTGTGGCTGATAAGAGCTGCTCCTCAGCTGTGCCCTCCCCACCGTCCTCATCTCCAAAGCCCTGGTTCTGCCTTTCGAGTCTGAGGAGCGACGCGCGCCCGGTCGTGTGTTTTGATAACGATTCCTACAAATGTGTTTATTCAAAACAAACACAGTGGGAAGCAACTACAAAGCAGGCTGCTCTGGCAGCTGGTGCCAGAGGGAGCTCGCTGTCGGCGTGTGATCCTGGTGGGACAGGCTTGCAGAGCATCCATCCCCATCCCTGTGTGCCAGGACACTGGGAGCTCTGCCCTGGGAGTTGACCGTGGCGAGTCTGTCTTGTGTCGTGGGCTTGGAGTGATGGGTTTTTGATAGTCCTTGCCCCTTCCACTGCCTTGTGGCATCTCCGGGAGTTTTTGGAGAGCTGTTGAGAGCAGGAATTGGCTGCATGGTGGCTGGAGGGACTTTGCAGAGTGTTGCTAACAGGGCCAGCAGCATTCCTGGCAGTGGATTGTGGGAGAAGTGAAGAGGTTTCATAGCATAGTAGAGTGTTCTGAGTTGGAAGGGACGCCCAAGGATCATCCAGTCCAACCCCTGGCCCTGCCCAGAACACCCCAACAATCCCACCCTGTCCCTCAGAGTGTTGTCCAAACCCTCCTGGAGCTCTGGCAGCCTTGGGGCTGTGCCCACTGCCCTGGGGAGCCTGGTCAGTGCCCAACCAGCCTCTGGGGGAAAAATCCTTTCCTGAGATCCCACCTGACCCTCCCCTGACACAGTTTCAAAGGATCCAGAGAGCCTGTTCTAAATCTGACACTTCTCCAATGGAAGCACAGACCCAGTGGGTTCCATCCCTGCTTTTCCAAAAGCCCTCCCTGAAAAGAAATAAAATCACCAAAACCTCAAACCAAACCTTGTAACCTCAGGAAATTTGCGTTGCTGGAGGAACAAACTCAGGGAAGGTCTCTGGTGCTGCCCTGGTTTAACCACAGCGTTAGGAATAAAATCAAGTGTTTGCATTAAATGCAAGGGAAGAGTCCTTTGGAGAGCTGGGGGGACTTTTCTTCTTCCAGCACTCTGGTTCTTTTGGCAATCAGCATGAGTCAAATTAGAACTGATGAATGCAATAATACGTAGGAGGGTGACATCTTGAAACGTTTCCTAATTTTGGGTCTGTATTTGGAGCAAATGTTTGTGTGCTGAGGCTCGGGCTGGGGATTGGGGCATATTGGATTATATGCTATTTGCTCAGTGTAAGCAGTGGCAATTTATTGCTGCAGATACATGTGATGCAACGCACAAAGATTAGTTCTATCCCCTCTAAAGCATGATTATTTTGGGTCCTCTTTATACCTTAAATAGATATTCTTCTCATGTGATTTCCATCTTTTTGTGTCAACAGCCCAGGCTAAAGTTGAAATAAACATTGCATCAGTTTAATAGCACAGGCTCTGAGGAAATCTGCTCTGCATTTTATGGATGTTGTTTGGAAACCTTTTCGTTCTATGTTTTTGCTGTGTGCAATCCAAAGATTCCATGAATCCCAAAGCCTGCTCTGCTCCACTGGACTGGTCTTGTGCAGATCAACATAGTTGATCAACACCAATGAGTCCTGTCCCCATCAGTGTGGTATGATGTGGTGTGTTTAGATCACAGAATCTCACACTGGTTTGGGTTGGAAGGGACCTTAAAGCCCATCTTCTTTCCCCCC